CAAGGCCAAGTGGAAACATTACAGATTGAGCTAGATGAGCTCTCTGAATTTTATGATATATTTTTAACCCTTCGTGATTTGAGCCTCCCCAACTTAGCCTACCTACTATCCTTTGGGTTTGTGGTTTCATTTTCAATAAATTGTGCAAATCAGAGCCCTTCTATGTAAAGGCATTTAGTAGTTCGTGATCGATGCAGATTGTCACACTCTCCCCCAGTTTGTGGGTAACTAACCTGAACAAGGTATTGCTTTGCATATATTGTCCATGGGAAGGAGGCTCCATTGCAATCTCTTCCCAGAAACCCTGTCAGGATCAGAGCTGAGGCACCAGCCTTTTGGAGGTTTCTCTGCCCCTCCCTGTTCCCACTCCCCAGCCAAGGTGTCTGTCTTTAAGGGTGCCAATCCAGAGACAGCTTGGGTTCTCCAGATAATACTCAAAGGGCAAGTTTTAGGAACAGCCAAAAACACAAACAAAACCACTGCCCTCATTTGCCTGAATGGGAACTGCTAGCTCTAGGGTTTGGCTGCTCAGCCATTCAGAAACTTAGTAAGCGAAGCCTTCAGCATAGGGGAGGCTGCTGCAGCGATCCATGTCCAGGAGGTAAGCAGGGTTGTCTTCAAAGTGGGTCAGCGGCAGGGTATCCTCCTCGTTGAGGTGGCACTCGGACTCTGCTTTCAGGAACGGGCGCTGGTTGTCAGGGAAGGCCATGGAGAAAAGGGCATCCGGGTCACAGACAAACTTGTAGACGTATCGCTCCCCGGCCACCTGAGAGAGAAAACACACCTACTAAGGCCCAGCCGGAACAGGGCATGGTGGGGACCAAGGGAAGAATAATGATATATTTTTAAGTCACCAAGCTCTTGGGAAGCCAGGGACCAAACGAGGCTCATTAGTAACTGATTATCCAAATCATGCAGATTTATTTTGATAAATCTTGGGGACCTGCTACCTGACGAGTGTTGTGTGGACACCACAGCTCAACAGTTGAGATATCTGAATTTCGTATTCATACTAGATGGGCTCACTGTCTTACAGTCACAGCTTAGAAAGAATGAGTATCTGAGGTTGGCGCTTGGTGTTACGAGGAAGTACCATGGCTTCGGCACTGAAAGGTACCAAGCCGAAGCCAGGTCATGATTTCAGTCACTTCCAAAGTTCAGTCTCCACAATAAGCTTTGTTATTTTGAAGGGCTAGGAATTTGATCAGACAGCCTATGTGGAAATTTTAAGTTTGTTCCAAAGCCAAAAAGAATTGCTTCTTGGCTTACCTGCAGTTTTAAATTGCTCATTCCATGGTTCTGTCACACTGAGGAAGTGATAACTAGTTTATATGGACTTACGCATCATAACACTATTTAGCACCAAAAAGCCTTGATTATCCACAAAGGCCTCATGATGTAGCTGATGAGCAATCTAGGTCACTGGGAACCATTCTCTGCTGGTTGTTTAGCATCCCATACCTCTAAAAATCCAACCCGAAAATCAGCTTCGCTGGTAATACAGGCATACACTTAACCATTCCTATTTAGTTTTTCTAAGCCACAGTTTTACATTAAATCTCTGGTTCCCCACCTCAAGAGTTGGTTACTTCTCTAACATTTTTGAGAGCATTTAACCAACATATTTGAAGGTCTAGAGATGCTTTAACAACTAAAGACTTCAATGAAACTCTTGTGAGATTCAAGTCAATTCCCACACATGCTCCTTTATGGACACAATAATTGGCCTAAGTGTCTGGACATTTTTGTAATTAGAGGCAGTTTAAGTAAAGCAGAGGAGCGTAATTTTCCCATGATTTGTTCCACACACAACCTCTGGTTTTCATGTACACCCAAGAGCAATAAAGGTACTCTTTATATCTCATTTGACTCTTGTCTTAAGTTTGCTTTTCCAAGACTTTCTCCTACCACAGAATCACTTATGAGGCTGACATTTTCTCCAGTAAGAACTTGAGAAGACCATTTATTTCCTAATTTTCTCCAGCCAGCCATTATAAATAGCCTTATTGCAGAAGCCTTGACATTCTCTTTGAATGTGGTCAGAGCGGTTTGTGTCTCTCATAACTTCTCACCTTCTGCATGATGCCCTTCTCATAGTAATAGCGTAGAGAACGGCTGAGCTTGTCGTAGTTCATGGCTGGCCGGTTCTTCTGGATACCCCAACGCCGAGCAACCTGAAGAGACAGGAAAGCAATGGAAACTCATTCCCTGGGTCTAGTGGTTTTCTGCTGACCCAGGAGAGCCAGTTCTGTACCCTGACTGTTCTGGTCAATGCTCCATTTCCCTGACCTGAAAGGAAAAGCATCTCATTCCCTCAAGACTAAACATTCCACAAAGGTGATGATTCGGTCACAATGGCTAAGAGGTGAGACCTAGAGGTGGAAGAATGCTAGCACTGTAGATTGCAGAGGGCTTGGCTAATGTCCCAGAGGAAGCAGGCCCTCTACTGTTTCTCCACATATGAATTATTGACCAATACCCGTAGACCATTAACATGTTGCCATTAAGTGCTATAGTTTCTGTAGCAGTCAATAAGGAATAATTAGAATGGTCATTCCTGAAACATTAGAAACACACTAGTGAGTTGCTAATGGGCCAGCAGAGCAAAAGTTCAATTCTAATAAGATTGGAGAGGGGCTGGGAGATGTTTACTTATTGCAGCTCATGGAATAAGGGGGAATCAGATCATTTCAGCCTGCTGCCATCCAATCCCCTGCTCCCAGAGGACTTGCAGAATGGACATTAAAACATGCAGCACCATTATCCACTTAATGAAAAATTAACACGTTTTCCCAAACAGTTCTGAAGTGCATTATCCCACCCAGTCCACCTGAGGTGCAGTGATGGGGAGAAGTAATTGGAGCTCTGGGCAAAAGAAGTCTTACAGCCAAAAAACTTCCTAGTAGAGTTTACCCAGTTCTCAGGACAGCCAAGCAAGTTCTGTTCTCAAGTTTCTCAAGAGCCCAAATCCTGCCTATAAAGATGACTGTCAAGGCAGGAAAAGAACAACCCTAGAAATGTGAGTCTTCTCAGAGGTCTTTAAATATATGCAAACCAGGGGTCAGGTTTTGAACATTTTAAGTCAGTTTTGGAAACTTTTTTTAAAAAGCAAAATAACTATATTAAAACACCAAATGTTAAATATGGAATGGGAAGTAGGGAGATTGCAAGTGGAAAAGTAGATCATAAAACAGCATTCTGCTGAAAGTATTTGGGCAGGATGAAAACAACATCTGAATTCAGGATTCTAAAACGACCTTTAATAAATACCAGAAATGATCTGATAAGTAAGGAGGAATGCATCTGTCCTAATTACATTAGAATAATTTAATAGCCATGATTCCACTCTGCCTTGCAAGAAACTGTGAAAGTTAAATTTCCATTCGTTTACTTCCTGCCCCTATGCACACACGATGTCCTGGCTCTCCTCCTTTCTCCATAATGCATCCATTCAGCTCTCTCTCTGAAATAGCCAAAAGGGCAAAATTAACCAAAAATTACATCTGGAAATAGCAGTGTAAAGGGAAACCTGCTACCCTAATATATGTTCTTCCACCCTGGCTCAATAGAAATGAGACTATGAAACCGTACTTCAACTACTGTCAGCCACAAGTGACGCAGGGACCCTTAAAAGAAGCCCAGCCTCATCACTTTAGTATATTTAGTGGTGGAAAACATTCTTGAATATTCCTCTGCTTCTGCCACAACCTCTCTTTGCAGTCACTTGCTTATGCAATAGCTTACTGGAGAGAGGTTTTGTATATGCACAGACTTCAAAGCATCTGTGGTAGCCATAGTTACTGACTCATCCTCCTGGGCCAGGGCCCTATGATTCAGTAGCCTTCACCAGGGCTGCTCCTTCTGCAGTAATGCATAATGCGGCACAACTGTAGAGCAGCTGGGAATTAGGGCTGCCTCATTTCTGGGGTGAGGGGAGCAGGGAATGGTTTGTTACCAGCTCTTTCTGCCTTTCATCTTTCCCAACCATTCCTTTGATAGCAGGCATCTTGAGGATGGAGGCTGAAGGAGTTAAAAAAAATCCACATATCTTTTCCTCCCTTTTCAAGAGAGAGCAGCCATAGCACAGGGAGCGGTTCTTTCTGCAGCCCATCCTTTTACACCTCCCATGGCATCAGTTATCTGCCACATGTTCAACAAACAACCCTACCCCCAAAATATTCATTAATGCAGATTCACAGTTAAAATGGCTCCAGATTAAAGCCGAGTCAGTCATAATTGAGAGGGTGCTAAGCTGGACGACTATCAAAAGACATTTGATTAGGGGGCCTGCCAAAACGCAGTTCTAAAACCACAATTTCCATGCACAGTGTAATGGATATTATGGATAATTACCCAGAGTGCACTACTCAGCCACACAGCTGCCTACAATTACGTCCCAAACAGCTTCCTCCTCCACTTCACCCTCCAAGCTCCCCCCATGACGACTTCTTACAGATTTTCCGAGGAGTTGGTATCTTCCTGACATTAACAAGAGAAGGGCCCGCAAGGAGTACAGTGGGAAAAACACACCATAAATGCTGCCTGTCTCGAGGTAAAGTGCAGAGATGGAACAGAGCAGAGCCGTCCTGGGTGAAGAGCCTGGAACATTCAGGGTTCATGGAATGCCTGGGATGGCAAGGTGGGGTGGGAAGGAGCACTTCCTGAAGAAACGAAGCTGTCCAATCAGCCGAGGGGGGGGCTGAAGGCCACCACGGGCCTCACGTGACTTGGCCGCTTGGCATTTATGAGCATTCTGGATTAATATTAGTTTCTTTATTGAGAAAGCAGAGGCCCTTTGCCATCTGTTCATCATTTTCTTTACCACTGGTAGGAGAGCAGAAGATTCAATAACAGCTTTACAAAGGGTCATAACCAGGTTCACCTGCAGCTGTACAGCCTGTGCTTAGGCCCGAGGCAGTGGCAATAAAGTAATAAAAGCTCCTGTTTGTGCAACAGGATAAATCAATAAGGGCTGCCGCAGGACAGATTTACTGTCACAAAGCCTCGGAGAGTCAAGGCAACATGCTTTCCTCAAGCCTCACATAAACCAGGCCGCGTTATGAGGAACAGAATGCGGGCCGATGGCTCCCCAGTATGGCTGGAGGCCGAAAACATGGCTCCATTTCCACATGACTTAGCCATAAAGAAACGCTTAGAAACACAACAGTACTGGACTCTGGCTTTGAAGGTAGATTGAGTCCTGACAGAAACCATTTATAACATGGAATGTTGACACATTTCCATTTTCGAGAGTGATACAAGGTAAGGAACACCATATGTGCATCTCCTTTTGTAACTGCCTCCAATCCACATATTCTCCTCTTAACTTCTGGATCATTGTCTTCTTCCAAATCAAGTGCCAGGTTGTTACCTTCCACTGTTAGCCCTCATACCAACTTAGCCCCTTAGTGTGCTAACCTGAGCCCTGGAATTAATGGAACAACATTTAAAACTACAGTTCTTGCTCAAATGTTTTCTAAGAACATTGTTCTCATTTCAATTACACATGCCCAAAGATACTTATGCTCTGCTGATTTAATATATAACACACCTAAGTACATGCTACTCTACGAAGCACATGCAAGATTTCCAGGGCTGTTACTTCTTCTCATTTATAATTTCTCTAGAATCTAAGTCAAATAGAAATTAAAAATCAATCCCTTTGGAATATGCCAAACTGAGAGTCTAATTTAATTTACTTTGTTATGTGATATTCAGGTAAGGGGTTCTGTAATATGTCTTCCCCACTGAAGAAATGGTACTGGTTCTGTCCGTAGGTCTTTTTGTCAATAGTTCTGAGCAACAGACAGTAATAATGTTAACAATATTTCTTTTTCTATTAACAAAATAATGAAGGTTTTATCATCTTTCAACTATTGTGATGTCAATAATATCGTTTAAAAAATCTAAATGATCTCTGTTAATTTCATTTCTTTAGGTTAGAGCTATTTGAAATATGTACTGGGGTAGCTGCATCCTGTAATATATTACCAAAGCATCACACAAATATTCTGTAGCTCCACATATAGGCTATGACACATAAGGGCTGACATCAAAACAAGTTTATCACTGAAGCAACACTTGTAAACAACTTTCCAAGGCGAAAAACAGACCCCATTTAAATCTTTATGGCCAACTCCCCAGACGTTGTAGAAGTGATACTAATGCGTTTTAATGTATTTTACAGTGAAGAAGCTGCCTGTCTGTGAATTGTAAACTGACCTCTGGATAATAGGAAGGGCACCACCAAGGCCACTGACCAGGCCAGATCTGAATGAGAAGAGCATATTTAACACTGTAAAAACCTCAATGGAGAACTAAACAAGAGCGAACATCAGCACCATCTACAAATAAAAAATCATTCGAGTCCAGCATCCAATGCTCACCTCCTCAGGTTCTATCAGCTTGAACTCCATGCCTCGGCCTGTCCAGGCAATGAAATGGGCATTGGCTGGGTCATCCAGAAGGGTAACCAGGAACTGCCACAGCTGAAGGGAGCCTCGCCTCTGGTAAGGGGGCCCCTCACGATACATGGTGGGCTCTTGTTTGACTTTGCCTGTTTGGGACAAAGGTACACATGCAATACTTTAATCTTTAGTATTTCAGGTGATTTGGGCAAAAAAGAGTTAATGCTAATCTGCTATTAATAAGACTGAGGGAGGTGCTCTGACATCCCTGAGCCTCCGGCTTAGCAACAAACCGGATAGAGCTACTCACCTTCCAGTCTCTCAGGAACAACACAAGTGTCATCGAAGTACAACCGGGGATCTTTTTCATATGAAAAACCTGAAGGAGAAGTTAAAAAGAAAGACCACGTTGCTTAACAAATTCTCTGTGTGTTCTATTAAAATTCTGGATCTAAGAACTAAAATGGGATTCTATCCTTTTGGGCCCTAAGCCCCATTAACAGAAATACTGATGCCAGACTGAGTTTTGGGGGACTTCAAAAGGAGTCAGGCCTTCGCGTTCTGATGTATCCACCAGAGCTTCAGAGCGGCCCTGCTCTGAGAGCTAAGACTGCAGGGAAGCACTGAGTCACCAAAAGGTCCTTCACATCTTGCTTCTGATGTCTGCATGGATCAGTGTTGCTATGACTAAGGCTTTATATCTGAAAGACATCTCATCTATTTCAGTCGGCCTAGCTACATGGATTTGATTGATCTGTGCATAGTCTCGCCATTTTCCACCTTTCTCTGTTGAGGCTGCCCACATACCTCATTCAATTACGAAAGAGTTTGGAGGGGAGAGAGGATCGCCAAATTGAGTAAAGACTTGGGCTTGTGGAGGATTTCGCAGAGTAATAACTTAAAAAGCATGTTGCAGTAATAACCAGGCACATGGAAGGTATCTGAAGAGACGTTCTAGCAATAAAACTTATTTTACAGATAACAAAACAGAGATCAAGAAGGGGGAACTGACTGGTCCAATAACACATGTACGTGGAAATGAAAGGAAGCCAGGGCAGAAAGTTAAAGGGGTCAAGAAGAAGGAAAGAATGTCCTGTATTCACAATCCACAAAAACCCTTAATATGCATTCCATGCTGACCACCATGTCACCAGGCATCCTGACAAGATCAGTGGTTCAAATCAAAGCCACTTAATAGACAGGCTTGATGGGGACCACATCTCTCCCCATGGTCTGGCCGGCTTCCGGGTGTGAGCACTCCAATGTACTCTCCTCCACCAGCACACTTCTCAGAGAATGCACCAGGGGCTCCCGTCTGGTAAACAATGCTCCCTGTGCTCAGTTCTCTGGTCCACAAACCTGGCTGTGTAGTACAGGTGTATGCGTGCCAGGTCTGCAGTGGGGACAGGCAGGGGAGGCACTCTGCAGTGAAGGCCTATCTTAGATTTTGAGAGGGATTTGCTATAACTTGAAAAATCCACAGGTAAAGGTGCCAAGAAACAATCTGCTCTTCTTTCTTCATGATCAGTCCAGACCAAGTTCTTGGCAGGACCAGCACCATTTTTAAGAGGCCTGGAACTGGGAAAACACTGCCCAATTTAAAGGAAACTGAGATTTTTTTGAGGTTTGAATGATTTTTTGTTTCCTCAGCTCTAAGCACTATTTCTCTATTTGCTTAATTACCTCAAAGGATGTATAATTTTATTGTCATTTATTTATTATTTAATTCAATAAATATTTTGCCAGGCACTGTGGAGGGAGGTAGACATGAGAAGACTATGGACTTGGTGCTTGTGCTCATGGAGCTTGCATCCCAATTGATGGACACAGACAATTAAGTAGGAAAAAAAATAAATAAATGAGACATGGTGTGGTATGGAACATTTAAAGAGTGTAGGCCCGAGAGCCAGACTGACAGACCTAGATTAGCTGTGTGACCTTGAACAAGTTAATTAATTTCTCTGTGCTCCAGTTTGCTCATATGAAGACTAGGGAAGATAATAATTCCTACCTTATAGGGTTGTGAGAATTTAACGAGTTAATATATATTCTGTTCCATGGATCTATTTATCTTTATACTGGCGTGCCAAGAATAGCTCCTGGTAGATAAGTGTGCAATAAATGATAATTTAAAAAAGTTAAGATAGTTAATTGTACATTGTGATAAGTACTATTAAGAAATTAATTGAATAATGTGAGAGCTTTATCTTCTATTCTCTCTCATAGATTCTAAATTCCTTGAGGATAAGGACCATGTTCTGAATTTCTTCATATCTTCATAGCACCTGATACATAATAAGTGCTCAATAAGTATTTGAATAAATGAGAGAATCTACAGTCTCCATTTAAAAAGACTTGGGAATACAATGCTAACTTTTAAATCAGGAATTCAGTGACTCCTATGATACATTTATTTTCCAATTTGATTAGAAAACTGACTTTTATGACAAACTGTAATACTTTATACTATCAACAAGAGTTACCTCATGCTTTTTGCCTTGTTTGCCAGAAAACTATATATTCCTGATTTTCCATATGGATTTTGGTAACTCCAGTGGTGTTTGAATGGCCTTATGATAGTCATTATAAATATACTACTTCAAAGTTCACACACCTGTTACACTTGCTGTGTTATTTTTAGAGCTTTTCTTCCTCTAACATAAAGATAATGCAGTTATAATATACCGGGAGAAAATGTAAAGCTAGATTTCCTTCTAGGTTTGGTTTTCAAACTAATCAGATGAAGGCCTGCCCATGAGTATCGTTTTGATGTATTTTGCGGTTTCTAGTTATCACCACATGTGATTCTCTAAAACATCTGGAAGATGCTGTTGGTTTAAGTGAAATGTAAGTCAGTTGAATTTGCGCCAGCAATTACATCAGTTGTGGCTACAACTATCTAATCACTCAAATAAAGGTGGCAGGAAGGAAGGACCTGTTTGAGGAGCAAAGTAGAAATGAGAGATTCAAAACAGTATGCAAAGAATCCAGGTGAACGCTAAGGCAAGATGGCTATCTTAGTAATCACAGATGCCAATCAGAAACACTTGTTCCACTAACTGTTTCACAGGCATCTGTGGTCAAGCCTGTATAAGGAGGGAAAAACCATGTCAGAATAATTTAGAGCAATTAAAAATGCAGGTCTCTTTGCAACGAACTTCTTCACTGTGTGGGGGCAGGGAAAGGAATGGGAAAGAATGGGGCCACGAACACAAACTCACCAGGTATTTTGTGTATAGTAAGCAGCCCAATGCCTTACTAAAAATAGTTCCTTTAAGAGCCTGCTCCTTTCTAAATGTTGTAATTATGTAAAATGTTTTCCTCCCTCTTCCCCCAACTCCCTCTTATTTTGCCTGCTGCAGACATCAATTGATTCTGTAGAAACATTCGGGAACCTGGAAGAGAGCCCCACACAGCTGTGCCGATCACAGTCAGAGTTCCAATAGAAGCCCTTCCTTCCCAGGGCTGGACACTCACTCTGATTATCTCAGTGCCCCGTGCAACAACACCTGGTCTCCCCTCCAACCAAGCCAGTGGGAAATAATTTTTCATTGAAACCACTCTTGTGAACCAATCACTTACAAAAACCAGCCAATGTTTCATAGTGCTGTTTTACTAGTTCTTTCAACCTTCCTCTAAAACTCTAGAGCAGTGGTTCTCAACCTTAGCTGCACGTTAGAATCACCTGGGAATCTTTTTAAAATCCTGATTTCTGGGCCTCACCCTCCGGAAATTCTGTTTCTTTGTTACTAATGTTGTGGCCTCACCCCATAACAAAGAAACAGAATTTCCGGGGGATGAGGCCCAGAAATCAGGATTTTAAAAAGATTCCCAGGTGATTCTAATGTGCAGCCAATGTTGAGAACCACTGCTCTAGAGAACAGTGGTTTTCAGTTTTGGATGCACATTAGAATCACCTGGGGAATTTTAGTGGCTGCTAACCCTGGATTCCACCCCAGAATTTCTGCTTAATGGTCTGGGGGAAGCCTGGATATCAAATGTTTTAAAAGCTCCTCAGGTGATTCTAATGTGGAGCCAAAGCTCAGACTCCCTGCTCTATACAGTGGGGCCTTGACTTACCAGTGTCCCAACTAATGAGTTTTTTGAGATACCAGCTGTCTTTCGGGGGATTTTTTTGCATTGAGTTGAGAGCGTAATTTGAGTTAACGAGCTCCTTAACGAACTCGGTCTCGGAACGAATTAACCTCGTAAGTCAAGGCCCCACTGTAGTAGTTCTCAGACTTGAATGTGCATCCGATCACCTGGCTTGTTAAAACATGGATTGCTGGGAGTTTTTTAGTCACCAGGTCTGGGCGGGTCCTGAGAATTTGCATTTCTAACAAGTTCCAGGTGAAGGTTATGCCCTGGGTTTGACGAATCACTGCTCTAGATATTTTTGGAGTGATTAATTTAACAGAAAATAAAACATACTTCTGGGGAAGCTGTTCTAAGGAAAAAGCTCTCCCGTGTTTCAATGTTCAGAAAAGAAGTCCTGGACCTACCATCTCAAGTCATGACATAATTCCTAAGTTCCAGTTTAGGCCGACTGTGTTATACACAGCTGTGAAATCTCCTTGTATGGAAATGTGGAAAACTGATTGGTCCACCTTTTCTTCACATTCTCCCCTGAACTCCTAAAGTTAGGGTCATTGCTATTGAAAATGCTGGCAGCCTTCACAGTGCTCAGGAGCAGGCCTCAGACTGTGTGTGCAAAATAACAGAAGAATATGATCAACTAGCTCTCATATTCATGAGCTAAGGATGGTTTAAACTATGATCTCAAATCTTAGCCTGGAAACTGAGCAATTTTAAGCTTCCTTGAATACTTTTCTTTTTTAAAGTTACTTACCTTCATGGCTGTTGGAGAAATAGCCCCCTCTCATGTAGGCTGACTGGCAGTTAGGCACTTCTGAAAGAGAAACACAGACGGGCACACTCTCGTCAATCATTTCTGTGGTGAGTCATCACAACAATCAAACTGCAGCTCTGCAGTGAAGCCCTAACCTTCTCTTGCTCCAAGGTCATGTCATTTTGGTTTTGTCCTGGGAAAGAGGTACCACCCTAATAACCAACATGGAAAACACCATATAATCCACCATCTGAAAGGAGGACCCTTGACTCCTAAATCGAGATCTGAGAGAAAAAAATGTCTTGTTCTCACAATTTGCTCACTTAGAAATTAGTTTAACACCAAACTGGATGAGAGAGTTCATGGTAGAAGAAACTGGCTTTTAGAAGGCCAAGGTTGGCCTTCTGCCTATAACAACTCTGTGGCTTTGGGGTTTTGGACGGGGAGGAGGGTCACTAAGATCTTCCCAATTTACTCTTTATAGGTGATGGTCACATCCAGTTCTGCTGCAAGAGGTGAAGGTATTTTTAGGCCGAAGAGATTAGGGGATCTGAAGCTATGAAGCTAGGACAAGAACTGGCAGGAGTGGATTTGGCAAGGACATTTGCACCATGTTGGACCTGTCAGAATGGAACCCCTGCACAGCCATCTCTTCTTCTGGCAGCATGTTTTCAAGACAGTGAGTTGAGTTGTGTCTATGCAGGGCAAGCCTGCCTACATACCAGGACACCACTCAGACCAAAGAATTACAGATATGGTAACATCTGCTGAGTGTCTTGCTTTAAGGGAGTGGGATAGGATAAAAAACTGGTCAGGACAGATTAAAATGTCAATCCCAAAGTAAAAATGTTTCTGGTCATGCCTACTCCTGAGAATAATATATCAAAATAATACATCAAAGCCTTCAGGAGGAATGCCAATGGGAACTTTACAAGTTATTGATACCTATACTTGGTGATTTTTCTATTATAAAGCAACAGATGTCTCCCATCTGCTTACCTCCTCAACCTTTTCCATAACCAATTTCTGCCTGAATTTAGCAACCTATGTATTATCTCACAAAAGGCCATTGAGTAAATTCTATAACCTATTTCATTTGCAAAAGCCATTCAAGTATATACTGCCCCGCCCTTCCCTAGGGTCTTCAAGAAAAGCATGCCTAGGGAAGGCTGAAAACCTACCCACCAACCCTCAAATTCCTTTAGCACCAACTGCAAAAAAGAGTGAAAAACTTGTCATTTCTGAAAGGAGGAAAAACGAAGCAGAAGAAACAGTTTCTAAATGTGCAAGCTACAACCCAACCCTCCTTTTCCCTGATGATCTCATTTAATAAACCTGACCTCTAAGATATGTAGTCAGTGAATGAGTGTGTGTGGAGGGGAGGGGGGACAGCAGGGCCCCCAAGTATAGCTTAAACTCTTGATATGCTTAAGGTTCTAGACAAGAGTAACCTATCTATCTATATAAAAGCCAAGTGACCGGAACGACTGGAATGACCAGTCACTATGATGTGCACTGCGGTGGTCAACCGGCCCGATGGGGGCCTGATCACCCACCCCCCTCAACCTCCTGCAGACCCTCCCCCTGGCCGGCCCTTTTCCTGATTGGCCCCACCATCCTGATTGGAGGCAGAGCCAGCTGGCCAACCTCCCTAGGCCCCTCCCCACTGCCACCTGGCCCTGATCGGTCCCCATCGGGGCAGGCTGGCCAGACCCCACCTGTGCATGAATTCATGTACTGGGCCTCTAGTAACCAAATAATAGGAGACCTAATGTATCTCTCCCTGTGTACACCAGCAGCCACTGAAGGACACAGAAACTTTTCCAGATGAAAACACTGCAATAGAGCAGTGAATCCCATGAAGCAACCAAAAAGACACCTTTCCCATGGCGCACCCAGCACCCCACAGTGCAGTGACACACCAGGTGCTTTCTTGGAACACCATTCATTTCAAGAATAGAAAGAATCCCGTCCCACATGTGGGCTCTCTTCCATATTCTTATATTGAAAGTTTATGAGTCTTGTATTAAGAAAGAAAGCCATAGAACTAGGGACAGGACTAAGATGCAGAAATAATATTCCCTGTGTCCAGTGACCCTAAGATAATAGGTTTTAAAAAGAGTATCATCAAGATTGGATCCCGGGCCTGGCCAGCGTGGCTCAGTGGTTGAGCATCGACCTAGTAACCAGGCGATCACAGTTAGATTCTCAGTCAGGGCACATGCCCCAGTTGCAGGCTCAATCCCTAGTGTGGAATGTGCAGGAGGCAGCCGATCAATGATTTTCTCTCCCCCCCCCCCTCCCTCTCTGAAAAAAAAAAAAAAAAGATTGGACCCCAGCAATCTTCAGGGTTGGCCTCAGAGGTGTACTCTGTACCACTTTTAATTTAGTTGTAATTCTGGTTTGGTCCTGGAGGAGGTGAGTGTAGCTTCCACCTACTTGCCACCATCTTGAAATCTCCCTGCACCACAATTGACTGCCCCCTGCACTTCCTACCATTTGCATGGCTTTTGTGCTATGTTTTTTATTCAGTTATGCATAAACACGCCTGCTTTACTAGCTCCTAAGTTCTTTAAGGGCTAATTTTATGAAACCATTCCCCAAAGCCCTACAGAAGGAAGACATTCAATGATGCCCAGGAAGATGGATGAGAGAATGAAGAAAGAAGTGGCATGACTTCATACTAACCTGAATCAACGCAGTAATCCCGGGGCTCCTGCTTGATTCCCATTGGTGACTGGAACCCATGTGCTGGGGGTCCCGGCATGCCTGGGACCCCATGTTCATAGAGTGGGTCATGGTATTCTTGTTTGAATTCCTGAGGGGGTGGGGGAGCTGCAGGGACAATAGGTTCTGACATTTGCCGGTGGTAACTGGGGCGATTATCTCCAGGAACTCCTGACTGAGGAGGGAAGGGGTGGCAGGGTTCAGACAGTTGTCTCTGAAATCTGCAAGAAGAAAGCAGTTATATTGTTTAATTAAGAACATCACGAATACCTTCTATAATTTAGCATTGAGGATTAGATGTTCAGGTTAAGGAAATTATTTGCAAAGCAATGCCTCTCCAACCAACTTGACAAAATGAACCTAAACTTTATTTAAAAGATTAAATAAGTTTGAAAAGAGATAATGATCTATTCCACACTGACAAATATTATAAAGCCATAATAATTAAAACAGGAATAGAAGAGATGAAAGATAGGCATGTCAAAGAAATTGAATGGAAAGTCAGAAACTGTCAAATATATTCCAAAATTTTTTAAGATAGGCATTTCAAATTAGTGGGGGAAAAGGTTGAACTTCTGCTTTATACCATATGCTTATATAAATTTAATATAGAATAAAGATTTAATGTAAAAACACAATAGTAAAGTAAATATATATGAAAACATAAAATCTTGGAGAAAAACACCTTTTTATACATTGTACCAACAGCAGAAACCACCAAAATAAATACGAACACACCTCATTGTATAAGTTTCTATAAGTCAAAAAACATCAGCAACAAAACCAACGAAGAAACAACAAACTGGGGGGCGAGGGGTAATCTGTGACAGTCAGAAAATACCAGAATCAAACCCCCAAATTAAACTAATTGGAGGAAAATTCTCTAACAAATATAGCAATGTTAATGTTGTTGACATAAAGGGCGTTTAAAAATCAATAAAAGATGAACATTCCAACTGAAAAAAATGGGCAAATGACATAAATCAGGAAAAATCACTAAAGAAGGAATACTAGGACTCATAAATAAACAAAATGTTTAACTAACCAGTCATTAGTAATCATTAAGGACAGAGACAGTTTTTCCCGATTACTTAGAGGATGAGCAGGCAGTTAATAAATCTGTTTCTGACACAAAAAACACACTGAAATCATAGATATAGTTAGATTTTAGCTACAAAGATGGTCACCAGTACAAATGTCTAATACAGGAACTGGCTAAGGATGTGGTAATACAGCCATTTAGTTGAAAGGAATCATAAAAAATGTTGCAGTATACAAATATATAAGGACTTGCAAAGGTATTTTTGATATTTTAAGGCTGGCTGTGAAAGAGTACAAAGAGCATCGCATTTTCGCAAACGTAAGGAAAGTGTGTATGGTGTTATATAAAATCCTGGATTTTACCTAAATGTTCATATTGCTTATTTTGGGTGGTAATGATTTTAGGTGACTTTCTTTTTTTGCTCATCTATAGTTGAATAAATATGCATTATTTTATAATAAGGCAGAACAATAAAAGCCTTTGTTATTGTTATTTAATGAGTATCATTAACATCCTTTAGCTGTCAGAGAAACCCAGAGGAGTGCCAACTGCCCCTGCCCTGTTGCGAAGGCGGAGTAGTCAAAGAGAAAGCCTGGGGTCCTGAAGTGAAGCCGCTTACTAGGGAAGTGATGGGGGGCACATTTTCTTGGTTTCAGTTTCCTCATCTGTACCATGGGGATGTATTATCCGACCAAATGCTACTGGAATGATGAAATAAAGTCATCTACAAAAGCATGGTTTCTGGCACAGCTGTAATTACTGCTGAACGGGGGTAGATATCAGGAGGGTGGGTGCAGAAGTTAGAGATGGGGACCCTCAATGTGAAATATGCATAAGGCACTAATCTATGTGCATAAAGAAAAGCATTTGTGAATATGTGCCCTCAGGTAAAAAATACTGGCCAAGGTTCAGGGGGGAAAAAAGTAAAGATTTTAGAACTAATTTCAATACATTTAAAAAAATCAACAATATAATCCTGTAATATGAAGGTCTTACCCTCTCCTGTTAGCTTGAATCCTATTAATAGCTTTAATCAAATCATTTGAATTTGATTTGAATCAGTTTGTGGCAACAGGTGGCCAACAGATTTCTAGGATATCAAGCTTTAAAATCTTAAACTGAAAAGATTGGGTGCAGATAAAGTACTTTTCAGATCAGGGTACAGCATGGCTCTCACTCTGAGTCTTTACTACCCTATCAAAAGCAGCACCCTATGCTCTGGCTGGCATAACTGTGGTCAGAGCATTGGCCTGCACACCGGAGGGTCGGTTCGATTCCCAGTCAAGGGGGGAGCAGGCAGGAGGCAACCAATCCATGCGAGAGACATCAATGTTTCTCTCTCTCTGTCTCTCCCCTTCTGCTCTCCCTTCCATTCTCTATAGAAATCAATGGGGAAAATATCCTCACTCCTTGGGTGAGGATTTAAAAAAAAGTAGCAGCCTAAGATCATTTTATAACATAAAGATCACCAATAATTTTACATATACATATCCTTTTATCCCAGAACTAAAAGCATCAGAATCTGCCTGGCCAATGTACTGAATAAGTTTTAAAACTATATAAGGCTCAGTGGGTTGAGAGCCTTTCACTAAGGGACTGAATGCATTACAGTGGAACTTCATCAGGAATGAGATTTTTCTAGGATGCTGTTATTTAAGGAAACCCTTTCGGAGTCTTTGAAGAAGTGTAAATTTGAAACTCAGCGTTCGACTTGACGTTTAGAATATAGCTACCAAAAAAAAAAAAAAAAAAAAAAGGAAAATAGAATATAGGCACCAGCAGCACACTGAAAACCTGAGTTTTTGAAGAAAAATTTGAAGAAGGGAACCCAAAAGAAAGATGAGGATATTCTCAAGGCCTTATTTTTATGAAGTACCCAAACCTTATGCTAGCAGGAAGAAACAGCAATAAGGGCGCTGTTCTCTATCTTCCCCTCTGCCACCATCTCAGCACCTTCAAAGGTGACCTGCACAAATCACTTCCTTTGATGGCAGGAACCACTCAGTTCTGTAATCAGAGCCTCTGCAGCTGGCAGGCCCAACCACTCCACTTCCGCTCATCTTCTCACCTTTCAGAATGAAACTCTAGAGCTGTCCTGGTACAGCCCCTTCAGGAAAAGGTACTTCCAGATGGGCATCAGGCAGCATAACTGGAAGGATTTGTGAAACTTGGGGGCCTGGGATCTGCAGACAGATTCTGTCATTGGGATGGTTCTGTCTTGAGGGAGTGGAAGTGGCAAAGGGGACCTTAAGGGTAGGTCACAAAACCAACATATTTGGAAGAAAGTCTCCCAGAGCTTGCTGCTGATAATGGCTTTTATTTGCTGAGATTAGTAAAGTAATTCAGTTCTTCTCCCCTAAAGTTCATACATTCTGTGAACTTTACTCACTGACCTTCATTTGAACCCCCTTTCCCTGTTCCCAATCCTTTGAAGTACCTAAGAATGTGTTGTATACATAATACAGCTGTGACAAAGATGCCTCTTGTTTACTGAGGCAGGCAAGCATTTTCAGTGGAAGAGAGGCCTGGTTCCTAACAAACCTCTCCCCGCTCACTCCCAACCCCTCTGACCTGCACTCCCACACTCATATCCCAACAGGGCTCAGGTGGTAGTGAGGTCACAGTTGGTGAGCAAAAGGAGACTTCCGACTACCGAGGGATTCTAAATTCAATAGGTTACAGATTAAGGTTTTTTCAGTGCCAGTTTATTTAAAGAACCAGTTATTTATTTATCTGTCAGATTTATATAGCGCCTTTCCTCCCAAGAGCTCACCCACGCTACCAACATTTGGTTTACGTTATGAAAACCGTTAGATGCTTTTTCTGCATTTCCTTTTCAGTTTCTGCTGCCAACACACAGAGTAAACACAATGCTTAGAGGAAAAAAAGGAGAAAAGTGTGGATTCAATGAAGGCCACACAGTGGCCGTGGGTGCCAGGTGAAGCAGTGATGTTCAGAGGCCACTGAGAGATGATATGTAAGATCAGCCAAGACACCAATACCAAGTGCTTAATATTTCCGTTAAGGCTAAGAGCAGATAGAAAATAGAGAAGCAGCGTAGCTGGGTAAGAGGCCCTGGCTGTGAAGTCAGCACATCCTAGGTTGAAATCTAATCTTCACCCTTATTAGTTATGTGACCTTGGGTGAGTTATATAACTGCTCTGAGCCTCAGTTTCCTCTTCAGTAAAATAAGGACAACCATGGGATCTGTCCCAAAAGTCTATTGTAAAGATTATATAAGATAATGCATGAAACAGGGCCCAGCACTCTGCTAGGTTCTTGATATACATTACGTTTAAACATCACTATCAAATGTTCCAGCCCTCCCCCAGCCCGCAACAAGCCAAATTCAGAAGTTATGCAAATGTAAGGAAAGATCTTAAGGAATTGGGAGAGAGTATTATCACTCACACAAAATAGAAGAGTCCACTAGTTGCCTACCCAATATCTAGTTTGCTTTCTCAGAAAGAGAATGCTGATTTATATTCTGGGTGGCAATGTGCTACCCAACTTCACACTAATGTTTATTTTTCCTGCCATATACCAAGTCAGACACTGTGGCAAAACAAAACCCAAACATGATCCCTAAAAGCAAAACCAGAGAATTCTGAAACAGCTCACAGGACTCTGCGAGGCCTGTCAGCAGACTCAAGTTGGCCCATTTAAACGGCGATAAAACATTGAGTGATAACATTTTAAAGGCTTAGATGCTTATCTGATTTCTCAAGATCAAATATGGAAGAAGGTGAGGTAAACATGAGATGTCCCCAATATAAAACAGTGAAAGTATTAGTTTTATATGTACATCATTAATAAGTCTGATGACAAATAGAAAAGATTAGGGATAAAGAGGGCTTTTACATTTTCAAAACTTGCAATTTCTAAAATTGTGCTATCTACATCATTTTAGGAAGATTCCCTAAGTATAGTTTCCTTTATGAAATATAAGAGTGATTTTTAAGTAGTGAAATTGTCATAAAAGTTATAATTTAATAAGTACCTTCTCTGTGCCAATATGATTTTTCATTTAATCCACCCAATGATATGTGTGGTATCTACTATTCTCCATTTTCAGATGAAGAAACCAACACTTAGAGCAGTTAACTGCTTGCCTAAGGTCAACAGATTCAAAACCAGGTCTGTCTGTCCAACTCCAGAGCTACTGGACTATACTGTTTC